GTAGTATCTTTCAATATGTTTCATGTATTCTACACTTTTTTATATTCTTCATCAAAGGTTTCTCTCCTTTTTCTGTGACCCTCCATTCTTCCCTCTGTGTCTTCTTGAGACGTGCTTAGCATTTATTTTATTAGTCTTCTTATATCTTGCTGTACTTGTATTAGTATATGTTTTGAGGTCTTCTATAATGTCACAAAGATATTTCTTTATGTCAGCTGATGCTGTTTCCAATACTTCATGTCTGCTATCCTTGATCTCTTCTGTAATTGCCTCTCCTAGACCCATACTGTTTGAATTGGTAGCTGAAGACAGATTTTTCTTTCTTTCTCTTGTTATGTTTCTGGTTTCTTCCCGACAAGTGCATAGTGTGGGTCCCAGGCCCTTTCTGTATTGGTTATGATTTCTTTGAAGTCAATGGCGAGGGATTTCTGCCCTCTCCCATTTGCTGTTGATCAGTGAGGTACAAGCAGGGGTAGTGCAGGCTGGCCTGTTGGGAGCCGCAGCCCCGAGCCCGGTCACCTCACTTGGCGGACGTGAGGCCTGTAGTAAAGAGTAAAGCCTGAGGTAGATTACCCCTCCCATCGAGCACGTTAGTTTCCTGCTTACCGCGTAAGCAACCCGCTCAACAATATAGTCTGCCTGGCAACTGATGATGTTAGCCAATCAGCTTGCCTTGCTTACTTTAACATGATTGGACACTGTATCCGTATATATACTGGTGCCACCCCTGGGGGAGAAGAAGAAGCCCGGAAGTAGAAGCCCAGAAGGAGCCGCGGGGAGTGGACCAAAGGAGGCTTCGGCTGGGAGCGATCCCAGGGCAGGCTGTACGGAGAAGGAAAATAAAAGAAAAGGTTGTCCACTGCCAGACTTTGTCGTGTGTCCTTCCTGCCGGCCGGGAGCGACATCGACATTTGGAGGCCCGCACGGGGACTGATCACCCCCGAGACGTGACAGCGGACAACGCTCCAGTACAGAGCTGCGAGACAGGTGAGTTGGGGATAAGCCTGGGCTCTGGGTGGCGCACACCTACAGGGCTTTTAGACTCCCCTCAGGCTCACGCGTAAGTGGCGGATTCCTTGGGCCTCACGCGGTGAGTAACATATTAAAAGATGGGAAACATGCTAGGTAGCAACACTAAGAGCGAGGGTGGTTGTGGAGAAAGCTCTCAAGAGCTTACAAAAGTACGCAGGGTATTTGAGCAGGCCCAGTCGGGGAGCTCCCGAGAGGGGCCCGTCAAGGGGAACAAAGATGCTAAGGAGAAGGACGGGGCTCTAGCCTCGGAGTCGTCTGACTCCGAGGACGAGGGAAAGTTGAATGGCAAGGAGGCCAAAGAGACCAGCTGTCAGGAGCCTAAGTCGCTCGATAAGGAGTCGCAGGGTTCTTTCCCAGCGTTGCGCCGTGAATTGCGCTCCGCTCAACTTGGTCTGCGGAGGAGTAGAGAGCTCCTGAGCGCTCCCCGGCGCGAGAGGGAGGCGAAGCCTTCCGCCCCACCTTGGGGGCTGTTCCCGGAGGCGATCCCTCGCCGCGAGGCGGCCGCCCGGGAGCTCCCTTCCCCTTCGCCAGAACAGGAAGTGATGCACGGGCCCCCATTTTCCGCCCAATCATGGCCGCCGTCTTATGCTCCGCCGCCGGCGGGTCGGTATTTTTACAGGCGGCTATGGCAGGGGGGACGTTTGTCTCATGAGGTACATCCACCACCTGGGATAGATAGTGGCCCCTACGGGATATTTCCTGTACAAGTAACTATGGGCCAGGGACGTAATGCATGGGAGCCTTTTGAGATAAAGCAGATTAGAGAACTTAAAAATGCAGTTACAACCTTTGGGCCGACTGCGCCTTACACCATTGCCATGCTGGAGAACCTGTCTTCTGGGCCCCTCACCCCCGCAGACTGGATTCAGCTGGCAAAGGCGTGTCTGCCCTCGGGTAGTTACCTGGATTGGCGAGCCTGGTACGCAGAGTTCTCTGCAGAGCAGGCTGAGAGAAACGCCAGTCGGGGAAACCGGGGGTGGAACAAGGAAATGCTTATGGGAGAAGGTCGGCACGCTGATGATCAGACTCAGTTCCCCGGCGCTGTCTATGAACAAATCAACGCCATAGGGCTCCGCGCCTGGAAGCAGGTAAGTGGTGCCGGAACAGCCTCCTTGTGTCTTTCAAAAATAATTCAGGGTACCACAGAGCCATTTGTTGACTTTGTGGCCCGAATGCAAGATGCTGCCGATAAGATATTTTCTGATCCGGGAGTGGCTCGACCGCTGGTAAGGCAGCTGATTTTTGAGCAATGTACAAAGGAGTGCAAGGCAGCGATAGCTCCTCATAAGAACAAGGACCTCAACGTCTGGATTAGGATATGTAGAGAGATAGGGGGGCCGCTCTCCAACTCGGGAGTGGCTGCTCTCCTGGCCGCGGCTGTACAGCAGAGGGGACCTCGCGGGTTAGAAGGGGAATGTAAGGCTAAAGGGTGTTTTGCCTGCGGGGAGCCAGGACACATTAAACGTCATTGCCCAAACAATGCAGATGCTAGGCCTCACCCTAGGAATGAAAAACCATATGTTTGTGGGCGATGCAAGAGGGGATCACACAAAGCTGAGGAGTGTAGGTCGGTCTTTGATGCTCAGGGCAACCGTATTTGTGGACGAGATGCTAGAGGGCCAAAAAACGGCCAGAGGGGGCCCCCTTCACAGGCGGGCCCCCGCCCCAGAGACAGGACAGCTCAAGATGACAGCCTTCAACAAGGGCCACCCCTGGGTCAGCAGGTGTGGACCTCAGTGTCGCCTCCAGACTTATATTAGTGCCTGATATGGGTGTTCAAGTGGTTGAAACCACCTTTAAGGGACCGTTACCCAAAAATTCCGTGGGTCTGGTGATCGGGAGATCCTCCACGGCCCTTCGGGGTCTCACAGTATGGTTCAATCTCTTGTGGGTACTATAGCGCAGCTCTTGCTGCTCCCCAGTCTCCACAAGAGATTCCCCTCAAAGCAGACACTAACAAACCATTTCCATGTTTCCAGAGCAGATGCACGAGATATCGTGCGACTATGTGACTCCTGTGCCACATACAAACCTGCCATACCGATGGGAGTAAACCCTCGAGGTTTGATCCCTGGTGATGTTTGGCAGATGGACATCACACATATACAGGAGTTTGGGACTCTTAAATATGTTCATGTTTCCACAGACACCTGTTCTCACGTCATATTCGCAACAGCAGAAACAGGTGAAAAAGTGTCTAATGTGATCAATCATTGCCTGGCGGCTTGGGCCGCATGGGGCAAACCAAAAATATTAAAAACTGATAATGGACCAGCCTATATAGGCAAAGCCTTCAATGAGTTCTGCAAAATGATGGAGGTTCAATTAAAACATGGTATCCCATACAATCCCCAAGGTCAAGGAATCATTGAGAGGGCTCATAGAAGCCTCAAAGAAATTTTACAAAAACAAAAAGGGGGAGTAGGCCAAGGCCTGGCCCCAAAGGCACGATTATCCATGGCACTATTCACACACAATTTTTTAAATTTAAATAATGATAATTGCTCCCCAGCCGTGGAGCACTGCAACCCTTCCCCCAACCATAAAGGGTGGGTGAAGTGGAAAGATGTCCTGACAGGACAATGGATGGGCCCGGATCCAGTGGTCAGCTGGAACCGAGGCGCGGTTTGTGTTTTCCCACAGGAATCGGGACGAGAACCACTGTGGGTACCGGAGAGACTGACACGGGCGACAAAGCCCTCGACTGAAGATCAGACCTGCCCTACCGGAGATCCATCACAGACCAACCAACAAGATGAATAGAAATAGCGGTAGCCCGAAATGGACAAGAAGATCCTCAGGCATATGCATGGCTCGCTCGCCTAGCCTACGACCGAGTCTAGGGACGGTGAGCTTCCCACACTCCTCCTCTAAAAAATTATGATATAGCAGGGTAGGAGAGTCAATGACGGGTAAGAGCGTACTCCCCCGGTGCGACTCAACCTAAGCCAGGCCCTACCCCATCCTGCACATAAGCCGCTGGACTGTTAGATGCTGCCCAGGTCTAAATTTCTCTCTGAGGGGATTTCTTTACGGAGAGGAAATGAGTGCAAGCTTGTGTGCATCCAGGTTCCGTCCAGTTTGTGCCTGGCCCTAGAAAAAGGACGAGGGCCTCAGGGCCTTGGCAGACCATGGGACGGCCGACCAGGGTCTAAGCCAAGGACCTACGGTGGGCCTACGCATAGGGCATAAGCCTCTGCACCCAGTCCAGGAAGGGCTACGATGCGCACATTCATAAAAAATAAAAAAGGGGGAGATGTTGGGAGCCGCAGCCCCGAGCCCGGTCGCCTCACTTGGCGGACGTGAGGCCTGTAGTAAAGAGTAAAGCCTGAGGTAGATTACCCCTCCCATCGAGCACGTTAGTTTCCTGCTTACCGCGTAAGCAACCCGCTCAACAATATAGTCTGCCTGGCAACTGATGATGTTAGCCAATCAGCTTGCCTTGCTTACTTTAACATGATTGGACACTGTATCCGTATATATACTGGTGCCACCCCTGGGGGAGAAGAAGAAGCCCGGAAGTAGAAGCCCAGAAGGAGCCGCGGGGAGCGGACCAAAGGAGGCTTCGGCTGGGAGCGATCCCAGGGCAGGCTGTACGGAGAAGGAAAATAAAAGAAAAGGTTGTCCACTGCCAGACTTTGTCGTGTGTCCTTCCTGCCGGCCGGGAGCGACATCGACACTGGCCCCTCCCCTCTGAGCCAGTCAACCATGTGAGTCTTCACCATCTTAGTGTGTACTGCACAGATGGAACTGACTCAGGACTGTTTCAGGGGCAACTTCATCCCTGGCTATTGGGTCCCGTTCCAGGGGCAAGACCCAGTTGAAGCAGTTCCCACCAATCTGCTCTGCATCAGGAGAGGCCAAATGAAGCAACTACAGTTCCGGATTCAGGCCCATCCTGCCTGATTCCAGCATGTCACCCAGCTGATCAACACCTCCTGCAGGAGGACCAAATTCCAAGCACTCACCACAGGCTAGTGTAGATCTCCATGCCAGCTCCATTCTCTGTTGTGACACACCCTCCTGCTAAGGTCCTCAGGCTCAGAAACCCCCAACTTCAGCAGGACTGTGAGTTGTTGGACTCCAGGGTGCCTAGGGCAATGTGGGACCACTTCTGTTGAATGAAAGTGCATCTGGATTCAGGCTTCCACCCATGTTTTTCTTTCATTTTTCCTTGGATTTTTCCTGAGTCATGAGAATCCCTCTCCTTTTTTTCTGGTCTTCTCCATGGCATTAAATTCTAGCATCTTAGCTGTTTCTCTCAGAGAGCCTCGCTATCTTGCTACTTATTGATCTGCTATCTTCCCCCGTAGTCTATATTTCTCTTTTGAGCATCTGTTCTTACTTCTGAGTCTTCCTCAGATCCACATGAACTAATATTCATTGCCATTTCATTTTGGTATGGTATTTTCCATTGTTCTTGAAGCTGTTCAGCTATGCAGCCAGTGAATTAGTATTTTCACTGTTGAAAATGGTTATGAGACAAAGAAAGCTGTGAAGGGACAGCATGGGAAACTGAGGGCCTCATCAACAGGAGGTAAGGTGCTCTCAAAATTTCCACAGAGGTAGAGCTCATAAACGTTGGGTCAGTATTATTTTTATGTGCCACAGAAAGCTCTTTGCTATCCCTGAAAACCCTAGAAGTTTCTCTGTTTCTGACCTAGACCTAGACACAAACAAGTACCAACAAGTGCAGAGTGCTAGGAGACAGGAAAAGAAAGCATAATGAAAATATACCCTTTTTCTTTAGAAACCACATTATCAGATTTAAAAATTTGAAGATAAGTGGAAGAAAACAGGAGACATAAGAGTTTAAAAGACAATTCACTTGAAAAATCTCTTTGTCATATGGCTTTCATGGACTTCCCATACTGTAGGAATGGTGGTTTAACAGTGAATTAAAATCTATGGAGTATAACGTTGTAAGAGGACCAATCATACCAAAGGTTATCTGTCATTTCACGCTTTTTCTTTCTTGTTGGGGCATAGCACAGTGAGGTTTTCAGATATATAATGTATCACATGTCTCAGTTCAAATGATTCATGAATCACAGCTCTAATGGATGCTGGCATATGTGCTGCATGTTGCTATTTTGCCACTTGTTTGTTTCTTTGTTGTGATACCTAAGGTTGAACTCCTAAACTTGCACTTGCCAGGCAGATATGTATTTTGCTGAGCTAAATCTCTGCTCACTGTATTTTGCCTCACTAAGATTCAGTTTCTACTAGTGTCAATAGAGTCAACATACTTATAAAAAAAGCTTCTGTATTATCTGTAAGAAAACTTCCTACTACTCAAGGAATTCAGGCCTAAGATTCATAATCACTGTTTTGAATAACTGTATCTACCAGTCATTAAGGAATGATTGTAGACTACCTTCTTAATAATCAAAATATGAGACACCATACATATATACTTGTAAGAGTCTGCTTTTGAGAAAATCTATCTGCTTGCAATCAAGAACATATCAATACTGAGATGAAATAAAGTGGAAACACAGTGGGCTTGTTCGTAAGGAAAGCTTAGTCTAGGTAAACATCAGACTTACTGGAAGCACTTTTCCTCACTGTGGTGAACTGAGAGATGTGATGGTGGGGGGACCAGTGAATCTCTTGCCACAGCCTCCTGAGTTAACTGGGACTCAGGAAGGTGCCAGAAGGATCAACTCTCCAGCAAGCACCCACAAACTTGAAAACAACTTGGAATTTTATAGTAAGTTTTGTGGATACCTGTGAAGTACCCAGGGTCCAAGCTGGTAACATAGGGTATTGAAATATAAGTAAACAACACATTAAAAGTTGTTTTCTCTTATGCATATCAGCACTCTATTTGCAAGTATGGACAGCAATAATTACATCTGCACTGTTAATGTCAAAGGCCTTCCAAACATTTGGAGAAAAAACTGACATGATTCTGGGCACATCAAACACTTTAAGGTACTGTGATTTTTCCAGAGTCATCTGTATTGCTTCATTTACCTTGTTGGAATGTCGGTATAACTTTCATTCTTACTGCTTTCTTCACAACAGAATCTTTTTCTTCCATGGCAGCCTGAATGGGTTTTGAAGTAAAATGGTTAGTAAACACTCCACGGCTCCAAACTATGCAGTTAATTCAGAACACAAATATACAGTCATTACCTTCCCGTGAAGATGTGTGTCACCTGATTCTGTAAAGGAAAAGGGAAAAATAAACTTTATAAGGAAATATGAGAAAGCCAAAGACACATTCTTGTACTGTGAGGCTTTGGCTGAATCTTCATGCTTTGCTTTGGAAACCCAAATCATGCAACACAGTGAGGACAACTGCCTGACACAAACACAGGTCTGATATTCATCAGTTTTTACCCAGTAAGGTTGACTCACCAGATTCTGGGAATGCTGATGGACTCATCACGGATTCTGCCAGAAGTGGATGTTGATGGCCAAGCATCAATTTCTCAGATCTCTTCAGAGTCTCATTAGACTCGGTGAAACTCCAATCTGAATCAGAAAAAAAAGTTTTATTTATTAGGATGTAATGACAATACAAACATAATTACTATATCAATCCTTTCCTCAGAAGTACTCTCATGTATTTCTCTGCTCCACAGTCCAATAATTGCTCCACTGCTTCTGTGCTTGACACTCACTAAGCCAAGTCTGATTGTTACCATCTTCTCTCTTTCTTCTGTTTTAACTTAGTAGTATTGTGATTTTCCAACAATCTCTTTAATTTTTTTTTGGCTTTCTTTTTTTTGGGTGGGGTATACCATGGATCGAACTCATGACCTTGTGTTTCCCATGCAGGCACTTATACCACTGAACTAAATCCCCTGCTCCACTCTTTAGTTTTTAGTACACTTGACTGTTAAAACTTTAGGGATATGAATTATATTTCACTGCTTTGAGATGTTAAGTGTGTAAAGAATGAGCAAAGTGTGTAAAAGGCATTGTGAAATAGGGAGCAATTCTTCCAGAGAAAGGGGAAGCAAAGAAGAGGCAGGGTGGATGGAAAGAATGGGGACAAAGACTCCACTGGTTAAGTGAAATGAGTCACAAGCACAAATTTCAATACCATATTGTTTGCTAGTGGGAGAAACTGAAAAGTGTAATGGCCCAACTGTGCAAAAGATAGAAAATATTCAAATAGAAATGGTAAAGTGGTGGGAGGGTAAGGAAGTAAAGGATGTAAAGGAAAAAAATAAAGGAGCAAACAGAAGAAAATGGAAACAAAACTTTTTAAATAAGGACAGTAAGATAAGGAGTTGAAGGGAGAAGAAGTGACTAGGGGAAAAATAAATAAGACTATCAGGTACAGGTAGAAACTTCCTTTAATGAATGTGATCCTTATGGATATCTAAAATGCACCAATGAAAGCAATTTGAAAAAATATATGAAAATTATCCACTTGAATATAAACACACTATTTTTTCCCCAGTCAAAGGCATGGATGTGAAAGAATATTCTACTTTCAAATGGGGAACTACAATGAGATACATTCTTCAATACATCAGTGTTGTTAGAATTCCCTTCTCCGGGTTTTGATAGCATCATAAATTCCTAAGAACAGTGCTAGCTTTCAGTGACCTAAATGTGCCCATGTACAAACTGGTTTATTCCAGGTGAATCGTGGTGAACCTTTGGCACATGTTGCACAGTGGGCTCTTTGCTATCATTGAAAGGCCTAGAAGTTTGCTGTCTCTGACCTAGATACACATTAGTGAATGTAGAGCACTAGGAGACAGCAAAGGAAAGCATAATGAAAATATATCTTTTTTTCTTTATAAATCACTTTGGAAGATTTGCAAATTTTAACACAAGTCAAAACAAACAGGAGACATAAGAGTTTAAAAGGCATTTCCCAGTGAAGAAGTTTTTTATCATATGGCTTTCTTGGATTTCCCATGTTTTTGGAATGGTAGTTTAACAGTGCATTAGAATTGTTGGAGGCTTAGGTTCTAAGAAGACCAATCATATGAAAAGTTATGTTCCATTTCATGCTGATTCTCTTTCTTGTTCAGGCATAGCACAGCGGGTATACAGAGATGTAATATGTCATGTGTCACAGTTCAAAAGATTCTGAATCACAGCTCTCATGAATGTCGACATATGTGTGCATGCCACTATTTTAATGCTTTCTTGCTTGTTTCTTTCTTTCTTTTTGTACCTTGGATCAAACTCATCATCTTGTACTTGGCAAGCAGACACTCATGCTGCTGAATTAAATCCCAGGTCCCTATATTTTACCTCTTTCAGATTCAGTTTCTTCTACAGTGTCAATAGATTTCAACATGCTTAAAAATAAAAGGTCCTGTAGAATCTGTAAGAACCTTAACTACTATACAAGGAATTCAGACCTAAGTTTCACAATCACTGGTCTGTAAAATTCTATCTAGCAGGCACCAAGGAATGATTATAGACTCCATTCTTACTAATCAAACTATAACACACCATACATACACATTCATACAGTCTGCTTTTGCAAACATCTGTCTGCTTGTAAACATGAATATTCTAATAATTAGATGAAATAGAATGGAAATGCATTTGGCTTGTTATTAAGGAAAGCTTTAGTCAAGGTACAAATCAGAATTATTGGAGGCATTTTTGCTGGTGGTGTTGAACTGAGAGATAAGGTCCTGGGTACCAGTGAACCTCTTACCACAACTTCCTGAATTAATAGGGACTCAGGGATGTGCCAGAGGACCCAGCACTCCACCAAGAATCCACAAACTTTCAAACCATCTTCAAATATTATAGTTAGATCTGTGGATCCCTGTGAAATATAAGAATCCAAATTGGGAGAGTTTAAGATCATTGCTCTCAGTGGTTAAGTGCCCACCCAGCTTCCAGCCACACTATACTGATCTCTGCAGCTTTCATGGACTCAAATGGACTATACGCTGTGACCTTCTTCAATCAGTGGAGATGAATGCATTGGAGGTTAGTTCTAGCACATTGGTGCTAGCCTAGGGAGAGCTTTGGACCATCCCTAACCCTGGTTAGGAGCTCATCCAGCTTTCTGAAACCCTGGAGATGGCACAGAAGTTCCTGTGGGTCTGACTGGACCATGATCTGCAACCTCCATTCAGTCCCAGGAGCCAAGGGCACAGGAGACAATTACCAACACACCCAGGGGAAGCTTTGGAACATCATTTGAAACACAGAATTCTAGGAAAATGACAAGACAGAAGACCAAAATGCAATATCAAACCTCCAGCCCATCCCAAGATAGCCTGGAAACCATATACATAGAAGAAAATATATGCCATATACCTGAAATATCTGAAATAATATGAAATGAATTAAAGAAGCAACTCTGAGAAGTTTTAAAGGAATTCAAATTAGAAATAATCTCTCAAGTAAAAGAAGAAATGATAAAGGTAATAAAAGAAATGCTGAACATATCTAAAGAAGACACAGTTAAATAATTAGAGGAATAATGTAAAAACATAGAATTCATGGATGAACAATTTAAGAAACAAACAGAATGCATGAAGCAGATTCAAAGAGATATACAGGAAAACAAAAATTTCATTGAAAGTTGTCAAAACTGTCACAAGGAGTGAAAATAGAACTTCAGACCTCAAAGACAAGATTTCAGCTAGTGAACAGGAAAGATATTTTAAAAATAACAAGGAATCAGGCGATAACAATTCAAGCAATGCAACATGATGCAAATAAAAACAAGAGATTGATAGGGATAAATGAAAAAGAACGGGACAACACAAATGATATGAAGAGGCTATTTACACAAGTAGTAGCTGAAAATTTCCCAAACATGAAAATGGAAACTGACATATGGATTAGTGAAACATATAGAACTCCAAATAGCCATAATCACCCAGACAGATAATAATCACCACCCAGAAATCAAACATAAGAATAGAATATTAAAAGCTGTTAAAGAGAAAAGACAGACCACCTATAAAGGAAAACATATAAGAATCACAGAAGGCTTCTCAACACAAACAATGAAGTCAAGAAGAGCATGGAGCGAAGTATTTCAGATCCTAAAAGAAAATGACTTCTAACCCAGATTGATATGCCCTGAAAAACTGTCCTTCAAAATGGATGGAGAAATAAGATACTTCCATGACAAAGAACAGCTAAAGAACTTCATAAATACCAAACTAACCTGGAAAAGAATACTGAAACAAATTCTAGATACACATAGGAAAAGACTACTAAGCAATATTTACCTCGATATGATAAAGGACATCTATGACATACCAATTAAACAGAATAGAAAGGTAAAGATACAACAGCAGAAAGAAAACATGTCAACAATAAAGCAGTGTAGAACAGCTATAACCATTAATGTAAATGGAATCAATTCATTCATTGAAAGAAACAGACTGGCAGAATGGATTAAGAAACAACATCAAACCAAACTCTGTCCACAAGAAACCCATCTAACCCAAAAGGAAACTCATAGACTGAAAGTCAAAGGATGGAAAACAGTACTTCATGCAACAGGAACTCAAAAAAAAAGTGGGGGTAACTATTCTATTTGCAGACAATGTGAACTTGAAACCAAGAATAATCCAAAGAGATAAAGAAGATCACTACATAGTAGTTTGGGGAAAACTTCAAGAGGAAGAGATAGCAATCTTAAATATACATGCACCAAATTCCAGAACACCCAGCTATACAAAGCAAATGTTAACAGAAATGAAAAATCAAATAAGTAATAACACAATTATGACAGGAGACCTTAACACACCATTGGCACTAAGGGAGAGATCAACCAGACAGAAAATCAGCAAACAAATAACAGAACTGAATCATAGCTGTGAACAAATGGATTTGATAAACCTATACAGTGTTCCATTCAACAACATCAGAACACATATTCTTATCAGCCGTACATGGGACATTCTTTAAAAGAGACCATATACTAGCCCATGGAACATATGTAAGTAAATGCAAAGGAGTTGAAATTATCCCATGCATTTTATCAAATCATAGGACAATGAAACTAGAAATTAATTATAAAAGAAATGGCAAAAATCCCCCAAACACATGGAAATTGAATAATACACTCTTGAGCATTCAGTGAGTCACAAAGGAAATTAAAAGAGAAATTAAACAATACCTACAAGCAAATGAAAATATAAATACAACTTACCAGAATCTGTGTGATGCAATGAAAGCAGCCCTCAGAGAAAAATTACACTGAGCTCCCACATCGGGACTATAGAACAAAAACAAGCAACTTGATGCTACACCTCAAACATGTAGAAAAAGAAGAGCAAGTCAAGCTCAAAGCCATAAGAATGGAGTAAATCATAAAAATCAGAGCAGAAATTAATGCAATAGAGACTAAGAAAACAATATAAAGAATCAATGAATCAAAGAGTTCGTTCTTTGAAAGAATAAATAAAATTGATAATCCACTAACCAACCTTTTTTAAAAAGGAAAGAAAAAAACTCAAATTCATGCAATAAGGAATGAAAAAGGTGAAGTCACTGCAGACTGCAGAAACAGAAAAGATCATTAACACCTATTTCAAAAACCTCTACTTTCATAGGTTCGATGACACAGAAGATATAGACAGATTCCTAGAAACATATAAACTACCAAAGCTGGGTCAAGAAGATGTCAAACTGCTGAATAACCCAAATTCAATTAATGAAATTGAAAACATAATTAAGTCCTTACCTACAAAGAAGAGCCCAGGCCCACGTGGATTCACTGTGGAATCCTACAAGAAATACAAAGAAGACTTAATGCCAACACTCCTCAAACTCCTCAATGAAATCAAAAGGAAAGCAATTCTTCCCAAGTCATTCCTGGAAGCAACTGTTACCCTACTACCAAAATCTGAGAAGGACCCAACTAAAAAAAATCTTCCTAAAGAACATAGATGCAAAAATCCTCATTAAGATATTGGCAAACAGGATACAGCAAATCATCAAGAAGATTACACACCATGACCAAGTGGGATGCATCCCATCCATGCAGGGATGGTTCAAAAAACATAAATCAATAAATGTAATCCTCCATATCAATAGAGCCAAAAGTAACAATCACATGATCATTCATATAGATGCAGAAAAGCTTTTGATAAGATCCAACACTTATCCATAGTAAGAATCTTACAGAAAATTGGAATAGATGGTCTTTACATCAGTATGATAAAAGACATCAATGACATACCAAGAGCCAGAATCATATTAAATGGCAAAGAACTGAAGGCCTTTACCTTAAAATCAGGCACAAGACAAGGATGTCCCTCATCACCGCTCCTATTTAACATAGTACTGGAAATACTAGCCAGAGCAATTAGACAAGAGAGAGAAATAAAAGGAGTAAACATAGGAAAAGAGGAAGTTAAATTATCATTATTTGCAGATGACATGATATTCTACACAGAAGACCCCCAAAGCTCCATTGAAAGACTTCTAGATATAATAAATAAGTTCAGCCGTGCAGCTGGATACAAAGTCAATACTCAAAAATCAATTGCATTCCTATACACTAACAACAAAATCACTGACAGAGAAATAAGAGAAGCCACACCCTTCACACTGGCATCCAAAAATATGAAATATTTAGGAATTAATCTCACAATACAAGTAAAAGAATTACAGGGAAAATTATAATACCCTGAAAGAAGAAATTGAAGACATCAGAAAATGGAAAGACATCCATTGTTCATGGATAAGAGTAAATATTGTGAAAATGATCGTTCGCCCAAAACTGTTATATACAGATGCAATGCAATCCCAATGAAAATACCATTAACAAACCTTACAGATCTAGAGAAATAACGCCTAAAATTCACCTGGAACCAAAAGAGACCTAGAGTAACCAAAGCAGTTGGAAGTAGCAAAGGCAAGACAGGAGGCATCACTATCCCTGACTTGAAGTTATACTACAGAGTTTCTGTAATAAAATCAGCATGGTACTGGAATAAATATGGATCTGAAGATCAATGGAATAGATTATTAGAAGACACAACCATAACTTCAAACACACTCAACCACCTTATCTTTGATAAAGACATGTTCACTGGAAGAATGACAGTCTCTTTAATAAATGGTGCTGGAAAAATGGCTCCTCATATGCCGAAAACTACACCTAGACTCATGCCTATCACCATGTACTAAACTAAAATCTAAATGGATCAAAGATCTGAATATTAAAACAGAAACACTAAATTTGCTGGAAGACAAAAATCTTGAATCTTAGATAAAAATCTTGAAAACATAAGGGTAGGTAGGGAATTCATGAACAGGAATCAAACCACACAAGAAATACTTCCCAGAATCAATAACTGGGATGATGTCCTATTAAAAAGTTTCTGCATGTCAAAAGAAGTCTCCAGCAGAGTGAAAATAAAACCCACAAACTGGGAAAAAAAATTCTCACTAAACTGTCCCTCAGACAAAGGACTTCTAAAACATATAAACTATTTTTTTTTAAAATGAGACCCCTGAAATTCAAAGATCCAATCCAAAAATGGGCATCTGAGATGAATACACGTTCTCAGGTGAAGAAATGCAAATGGAAAATAAATACATGAAAAAATATTCATCATCATCAGTCTTTAGAGAAATTCAAATTAAAACAACACTGAGATTCCATCTTACTCCAGAAAGAATGACCAGGATCAAGAAAACCACCAACAACAAATGCTGGAGAGAGTGTGGGGGAAAAAGGAACTCTCCTGCACTGCTGGTGGGAGTGTAGACTGGTGCCACCACTGGGGAGGTCAGTCTCGACATTCCTCAAAAAGCTGAGATTGGAAGTCCCATTTGACCCAGCTATTTCACTTATGGGCATATTCCCAGAAGAACCAAAAACACCATTCCACAGTGATATATGTGCACCCATGTTCATAATAGCACAATTTGTAATAGCCATATCTTGGAAACAGTCTAAGTGTCCATCAACTGAGGAATGGATAAAAAAGATGTGTTATTTCTATACAATGGAGTACTACTCATCTATAAAGAAGGATCACATTGAGATATCTATAAATAAATGGATGCAACTTGAGACCATACTCATAAGCAAAATAAAAACTCATATTTAAATACCATATAGTCTCCCTAATGTAAGACATGGTAAGAGTACAAAAGGATTTATGGTAGTCTTGATTCCCCATTACATTGCTTTGAAGCCTTATAATGTTTTCATTAATTAGTTGGAATGGTTTTATTCTGTTTTGTTTGATTTGATTGTGTGTGATGGTATGAACAGCTATTTTGAAGAAAACAAGACATTTTGGCAGCCATTGCACTGATGTAATATCATCTTGTTTTGAAGTCCTACTATGCTTTTGTTCTTATGTTTCCATTGGTTCTATCATGTTGCGTCTTATTGGATTTTAATATATGTGATAGTATAAACAAATTTGCTATAGAAAAAGAGTTAATATCATAGCCATTATTAATTTTCTGTTCTTTGGTTCCGAATGCCCTATAATACTTTTATTCTCCTGAATAGTTTTACACTATTTTGTTATGTTTGATACTATTATATGTGAAGGTATACTCAACTATTTCAAATTTTGGTTGCTACTGTTAATATCCAGTTGTCTTGTAGTGAAGTGCTGTATTGCTTACATTGTTCTGCTCTGACCTGCTTTGTTCTGTCTTTTGTCTTAATCTCTTTAAAATAAAACTTAAAATTGTCAATAAAAAAGGATGCAAACTGGGAACATTGGGTATTGAAACATAAGTAAACAACACATTAAAAGTTGTTTTCTCTTGTGCTTTTTAGCACCTATTTGCAAACACAGACACCAATACTTACATCTTCAGTGTTTATGTCAAAGCTTTCAAAATTTGGAGAAAAAAATGGAGATGATTGTGGGCACATCAAACACAGTAAGCTACTGTATTTCTTTCCAGAGTCATGTGTATTGCTAGATTTACCTGGTTGAAATGTCTTTACATCCTTTATTCCTACTGCTTTCTTCGCAACACAATCTTTTGCTTCCATGGCAGGCTGAATGGGTTTTAAAGTCAAATGCTTAATGAACACTCCACAGCTCCAAAATGTGAAGTTGATTCAGAACACAAATATACAGTCATTACCTTCAAGTGAAGATGTGTGTCAGGTAAATCTAAAAAGGAAAATGAAAAATAATCTATATAAGAAAATATGAGAAAGCCAAACATACATTCTCACAGAGTTAGGGTACATGCTTTGCTTTGGAAATGAGTTCTTCAGATTTTTGACTTTGCTTTCCCATTGGTCAGATCAATATGAGAGAAAAATTAGAATACAGGTTGAACATGATTTCCAATGTGACATTATTCTTCCAAATGCCATAACTAAACAGGAAGTGAGTATATACCAATCTATACATGTCGGGTGTTGTGAAAAAGTGATTTTGGGATCCATCATGACCCTGAGAGGCTGACTGTCAAAGCTGAAAGAAGAGAACAGCATATAAATTGAACAAACCACATCATCCATTGGTACAGCATTGCACTACACGTAGGTGCTCTCGAGACACCTAGCACAGCAGAGCTCACAAACGGTGTGTCAATGCTATTTATGTTTTAAAAGATGAGGTTTTGTTATGCTGCCAAGGTGCCCTTAAATTCCTGCAAATGAGTGATCCCTCTCCCTCAAATTTTCAAATAGCTCGAACTGAAAGCATACGCACCATGCCTAGTGAGATTTTTATATACTACTCATCAATATCATTACTCCTTACACAAGCAGGTTTTGTGAAAGTTGGGGACATGGCTGAGGAGAAGCTACGTGGGAATTTCTCAGTGATTTCCACTGATACCACATTCAAGGAATGAACCAAAGAATGTCTCTATGTTACTTTTTAAAGGATTTGTGTGAAAAAGCTATTTTATCACAACTTACTTATCTTAAAATGAGTCAATGCTTCTATGTGTACATTAATGTCACTTGAATAATTATCAATTTAACAGAAATCTCTGATGCCTGATAGTTTAGGAGGGGAGGGAAGTACCTACAGTGTAAGGCAAGTCTAGCCCTTGTCCCTGCTTCTAATCATCTCTGCAGCAGCAAGAATCGACTTTGCCATTTGTGAGCACAAACACTGAAGCTGTGAGGAGTAAGTGCTCTCACGTTTCATCATGTGTTCCAAAATTATGTTTAGCTTTGTTATTTCCTATTTTCTTCCCCCAATAAATCCCTGTTCCTCTCCCAACTGACCTCTAGTTCGATGGTCTTGATTGTTTCCATTTACTGCTTTTTATGGATTATTCCTACCATTCCTTTCTTTATTTGGCAGAAATGGCAGTAGTATCTTAGAATTACAATTTGTTTTTCATCTCTTTACTCTTTCCCCTTTGGCTAGAAATATTTTCAGAAATAAAAACAAGATTTATGGGATGAGGCTGAGGAGGCGTATGATTCCCATTCAGTCTCTGGTCCCAGGAGGGAGCTCTCTAGGGGCACGACCTACCGCAGCAGTCCTGCCCTGGGGGAGTGCTGAGCTGTGATGGAGCTTAGGACAGGGAGAACAGGTCAGACACTGGGAGCCTTATGCATCTGCTCTGTTACCTTCAGTGATACCACTTCATAAGAGTCCAGAAGGGTGGCTTTTCAATTCTTCCACCTCATTGCCTCTTAAATTTGCCTTTGGGGACTTGCAGATCCAGAGTTACATTTGGCTTCTATGTCTTCACATTTTCTATTTTTATTTCAGTGAAACTGCTGCATTGATCCTTATAAATTGTTTAAGGTAGTTATCTTTATTGCTGCTATCAATAGCAATGACTTGGGAAATTACTACTCCTCAGAGACATCTTCAAGTTGTAGCTGACTTTTGAGTGTTGATTCTGTTATAAGATTGTCCTTGTTCAGCAGTCACGGGAAAGATGGTGGATCAGTAAGTAACAAGGTACAGAGCCTCTCTGGGAGAAACAGCTCAGACACTTAGAATTTACCACCATGCAGAAGACTGGGTGAAAGGAAATGGACTCTCAATGACTCAGGAAGAAACTGAGGAAAAAGATTTTAAAAAAAGAAAAGAAAAATGTGGACAGAAGGCTGGAGCCAGAAGCACGCTCACCAGAGCCAGTCCAACTCACGGGTGTGGCACTCTCACCTGAGCAGTTGGACTCGCATGGCAGTGCTCTCACTGGAGCCACAGTTGTGCTGAAGTCAGGGTTTGTTAAGCCCAATGGAGGACAGAGCCAGTGTGGAGACCTGCACTAACCTGCAGTGAGTGCTCAGAATCTGGCCCTCCTGGGAGAGATTAGGTGACCAACCAGATGACATATTGATATTGGGCAGGATGGGCCAGAACAAGGAATGGCAGTGACTTCAGTTGGCTGCTCCCTGCCAAGAGCACATGGGTGGGATCTGATAGGGCTGGGTCATGCCTTTGGCCAGCACCCAATAGCCAGAGTTGAAATTGTCCCTGACATTTTCCTAAACCAGTTCCATCCTCGCTGCACAAACTAATGTGGTGAAGGCCTGCACTGGTTGACTGGCTCAGAGGGTAGGAGCCATCCTACACCACCCCTGCTTGCACCTCAATGACAAACAACAAAATGGAGAAGGCTGCAATCCCTAGCCAGCACACTTCAGAAGAACCATAACCAATAGGAAAGGGGCTGGGACCTTCACGATACACCTGTATTGAGGAAGCAAGATACATAACAAGAGAAAGAAGTAAGAAAAAGCCTCCAGTCAACCCAGGGAATATGGGGGTCAGGAGAGGTATATACCAAACAGATTGAGGGCAGCAAACATGAGATATTTGACATGGTATCAGCTGACATAAAGAAATATCTTCATGACATTATAGATGAACTGAAAACTGAAATATTAATACAACTACAGTAAGATGTAAGATTAATAAAAGAAATGCTAAGCCCCTCCCAAGAAGACATAGATGGAAAAATGGAGAAATACGAAAAAGGAGAGAAACCTTCATAGAAGACCATAAAATAAAACTAGAATACATGCAACAGAGTCAAAGAGATTACCGGGAAATTTAAAACTACATTGAAAGATAGCAAAATTGCCTGAAAGAAACTAGGGATACATTAACAACACTTGATAGGTTTGCAATGTGTAATTGTGAAAGGAAAGATCTCTTAAAAATAACAAAGAAATAGGCAGTAACAATACAAAGGCTAGAAGACAACAAGAGGATGATCTATAGCTTAAGAATAAAAATGAGTGAAGAAGCAGGGGTAAACACAAAGCAGATACAAAGGCTATTCACAGAAATAATTAAGAAAAACTTCCCAGGCATAGGAAAAGGAGATGATATTCGGCTGTTTGAGGCATACAGAATTCCTGCCACCTAAAACAAAACTGAGCTACCACCCAGACATATAATAATCGAGATCCCAGAAATTCATCACAAGAACAGAATATTGAAAGCTGTCAGAGAAAAGAAATAGATCACCTCTAAAGGAAAACCCATCAAACTCATGACAGACTTCTCCATACAAACCATCAAATCAAGAAGAGCTTGAAGTGAATTATTCCAAGCCTTGAAAGAAAATAACCTCCAATCCAGATTGACATACCTTGAAAAACTGTCTCAAAATTAATGGAGAAACAAGATGCTTCCATGACAAAGAGGAAGTGGGGGAGTTCGTGACCACCAACCCAACCCTACAAAAAATACTGAAGGACATTCTAGAGAGGGAGGAAAAAAACCCAGGATTTCAGGAACAGTGGCAGAGAGGCCTCAATGAATGGGGCAGACAATGGAATGAAGGAGAAAAGTAGACAACCAATAGCAGAAAAATAGCATAGCAGAAATGAGGCAGAGAAGGTTGGCTATAATCTCTAACATAGATGGCCTTGATACACTAACAAAAAGAAACACAGGCAGAGTAGATCAGGAGATAGGGCCCATCGAAAATTTCCTCTGTATAGGAAATATAATTAACGTGAAAGAGGGTTTATGGACCAAAAGTCAAATATGAAAAAACAATGCTCTATGTGACAGGGAACCAGAGAGAAATAGGGGAAGCTCGTCCAGCACCTGAAGATAGCTTGGAAAGACATGACACTTGTGCAGTGGAGAAGAAGCTATAATGAAGGAAAAGCCTTGAGGCTTTTGTACGTGCAGGAAAACAACTTAAGATCAAGCCCAGGGGTAAAAAGTTTCAGAACCACTTGGGTAAATAACAGGTTGCATCCCTAACCTACAAACTAAAGGGAATTAGTGGGAACCAAAATGTACAATATACCCTATGAAAGTGAAAGTAAAAGGGAAGGAATTGTCTAAAAGGGAAGGCAGAGGACATTGTTAATAGTGTACCACGATTTAAAATCCACATTGTTCTTATCATTTTGTTTAGTTTGGTTATATTTTATTCCAGCCTGTCTACCTGTAGTAGACTTAATGGCCAGACAGCTACTCCAAAAATAGCAGGATATACCACAGTAACCATCCTTAATTTCCTATTAACTTAATCTGAAGCCCTGTACTACTTATACTGTCTTATTATGACTGATCTTATTTGAATCTGGTTTGTCAGATCACTGTCTCATCTTGACTGATCTGTTATGATTTGATAGTATCAAGTCTGAGAGTATAGACAACTACACTGAAGATGACAGGATTTACTAGGATACCCACTCTGGTTTGACTATTACCTGCTTTTGAAGTCTTATAATGTCTCCAATGTTTTGTTTTTATTAATATTGTTATATACTGCTATGTTCAATTATACTATGCCTGATGATATGGATAATTCTATTGAAGATAACAAGAGACATCATAGTAACCATTGTAGGTCACCTTGTGTCATGGTTTTATATGACTTCTTCATTTTGTGTTTTTCTAGGAGTTTTTGTTTTGTCTTGTTTTTCCCTCCAATACAGAAAGGATAGCTATCCATATAGAGACTCATGCATGTGTAGAACTTCTAAACAGTTTATGAGAACTGATTATATAATGCACAATAAAATGAACAACTACTTTGAAGAAAAAGAGACACTAAGGGACCCAGTTCTGATTCTGTAGCATCATGATGTGAAATCCAGCAAATTATTATTCTTTATTCCAAGGGATTTTAGTCTGTTTTGTTTAATTTCAAAATGCATGAAGGAATGGACAGTGATTTTGAAGAGAATGAGGAACACTATGACAGCCATTGTCGA